TTATTATTGATATATATATATTGAAGCAAATTAAAAACACATTATTTTAGTTAAGTTGAATCAAATAACCGTAAGTATTAGAAAGAGAAATATTTTAATATATAATTTTTACCGTTTCTTAAATAAAATGTTTGTACAGCGGCTTTGTTATGCGAGCACGAACATGACAATGTTTACAACAGAAAAAAAATGTATTTCTCTATTTTCTATTTTTAATAATTGATTTTTTGACTATTTTGACAGTAATGAGAAATCTGTCAAACCCACTGAAAGTGATTTAAAAATAGTATTCAAAACTATGTCATTACACGTTGTAGCAATAAAACCAAATTAGATGCAACGAAATCATTCCAAATTTAGTTATAATGACTTATTACTGTTTTATATGTATTTTATGAAATCTGAAGATATTTTTATATTCCATTTATTCATATTCAAATGAATAAACTTAAAAACCCTACGGATGAATATTAATTTTTTTTCTTCTGGTAATTAACTAATCATAATAAAATTATTAATGAGTAAATATTGTAACCCAGACATATTTTATAATTACTAAATTTCTAAATTGCTTAAACCAAAAATTACTGAACATATGATTAAAATTCTAACTAAAGCACTTTTTGCATAACACCTGGTTGTACAGTGGCAACAACACAGCGACATTGTGCCCTGACCGATTTTAAACCGTAGTCTAGTACATATGAAAGAGACCACCAACTTTTCTTTGGACTGCGAAAATTTAAAAACTAGAATATATAAAGAGGAATGATTTGTAGTGTACTGAAATTCATTTTCATTATTTTAAGATGTTTTATTAAAATCTTTCTCATTGAATTTTTATATAAATTTAATTTTTCTTTTTTGCTTAATATTTAGTGCCCACACCGAAGTGTAACAAAAAAAAACAAGTTCTTTACCAAAGTCTATAGCTGATATGGCACCACTGTTGTAAAAGATCATATATTATAGGTCTATTTCACGAGCAATTCGTATCAATTTTGAGTAACACTGTATATACACAAGTGCGTTACACTAGCAAATTTTCGAGTAAATGAGAGCATCTAAGAGAGCGTAACATCCCTGTCGATATCCCTGAAAATGCTACACAGACTTTATTCGTACATTTTATTTCAAGTAAAATTTGTGTGATGTGTGAATCAGCTGTTTTGATTTGAATTTTAATTTTTGTATTTTTTTTTGTGCGGCACTGGTGTTCTCACCAAATTTTACACAAAGCTATTTCATGAAAATTTGTGTAAAAAGCGTAATTTGTCACTTTATTTGTGTTACGCTCTCAGTTTGTACTTTACTTGTGTTGTACTTGAGTTTTACTACGAGTAGCTCTTGGAATAGACCTATTATGTTTTTACAATTACAAACCTTTCATTTGTGTACAAAACTGAACGCAAACTTTATATTAATATAAATACTTATTGAAAAATCACAAATTAAAATAAATATCAAATTAAAAGCAATGTTAACAATGTACGAAATTTTAAAGTTTTCTTTTACAATAAAACTAATTACAGTTGAAAACATTAAAAATTATAAACTTATTTGCAACTAATAAGTTGAATAATTAAATATACTTTTTAATCATAATTTCTTAAAAATTTCTATACATATTTAAAATATTTATATTTTACAATATTTTTGTGTATTTTTAAAATATTTCCTTTCCATAATTACATACAACTTTAACATATGACTAGAATATTCGTTAACAATACAATAGATTGCTTGCTTATGACTTTGGTGAACATTTTTTTGCAGTTCTGTGTACAAATTAAAGACTTTAGGAAGAGATTTGTTTTTTGCCCCACTTTGGAGCGATTCAAAGTTACAACTTTGTGTAACTTGAAAACCTTTTCGAATGTACACTGTAGTTATTTTGCTATATGATTAATATATTAATATTTTTATGTTACTTTTTAGTCTCTAAGAAAGTATTTATTGTTTGCCATATTCAAGTCTGTTTGATTTTTGTTTGATGAATTGATTTACATCACGCACTTTAAAGTCTGTCAAACTGTGTTTGTAAGTGTAGGCAGTGCATAATATATAAAAAGTAAAGCCGTGAGTTAGAAAGATTTCGCATCGCTTTAAAAATTTGCTAATTGACGTACAATAGGTTTAATAAATTGCAGTAAAAGTAATAAATAAAAAAAAGCGAAAGCATCCGGTATAGCCGGCAAAAATATTGTATAAAAATGGAGTCGCAAAGCAATAGTAAGTTAAAAGTCTCAATTTGCATTTAGTGAGGTTATATATATGAAATATTTTTCTAATATTAAAAACTTTTGCAAATTTCAGTACTAACTCAGCCATTTATTGCACCAGAAGTTGTTAAGGAAATATCTGATCAAGGAGAAAATGGAGACGAGTTGAAAGAGAAAAATGGTAACCTCAGTCGTTCACATAGTGTTGAAAAAGACCTTGACACCTCAAAAGAAACACGTTCAAGCATCTCACGCTCAAGATCGAGGTCTCGTAGTAGTGAGCACACTTCAGCAGTAAATACTTCTGTTGAAACTGAGGAAATTCAACAGAATATAACTAAAAGTCGTAGTAATTCGCCTGTAATAGAGAAGACTATACGAAGCCCAAGTCCATCGGTTATACGTCGTAGCCGCAGTCGTTCAAAAAATAGATCATCACATAGCCGCTCCAGAAGTAGAAATTCTCGCAGTCGTTCTGCATCAGGCTCAATACATCATAGCAAAAGTAGAAGTCGGTCGAGAAGCAAAAATTCTCGCAGTCGTTCGCCATCGGGTTCAGTGCATCGTAGTAAGAGCAGAAGTCGCTCCAAATCTGTTGTACGTAAAAGTCGTAGCCACTCTAGAAGTAGAAGTCGTTCACGCTCAGGTTCTAGACATTCTAGTTCACGAAGTCGCTCAAGATCAGGTTCAAGACGTTCACATAGTGGTTCGCGCAGTCGGTCTGGTTCTAGACGTTCTCGAAGTAGTACACGTAGTCATTCTGGCTCTAGACGTTCACGTAGTGGTAGTGGTAGTAGAAGTCGTAGTGGTAGTCGTAGCCATTCACGAAGCAGATCCCGTTCAGGTTCACGGCGTTCTAAAAGTGGTAGCCGAAGTCGATCAAGAAGTGGCTCAAGGAGATCTCATAGTGCTAGTCGCAGTCGTTCTAGGTCTGGTTCAAGACGATCACGTAGTCATTCTCGTAGTCGTAGTGGCTCAAAACGTCGCTCACGTTCCATATCCAGACGTTCTCGCAGTGGTTCACGTAGTCGTTCTAAATCAAAACAAAGAAAAAGTGGATCGCGTTCCCGCTCTCGTTCACTTTCTGGTGCTCGTAGTGTATCACCTAATCGCAATCGTTCTCGTTCAAAATCAAGATCTAGATCAGCTTCGGTTGCTTCCAATAAAGGCAAAAAACGAAATGTATTGAGTGACTCTGAAGGTAAACAATTCTTTTAAACTAATTTAAGAAATTCTTATGACTTTGTTTCTCAATTAGATGAAGGACAGTCCAGTTTCAATAAACGTCCCAAAATAACTGATACTGATGAAGAAGATGAGGAACAAACTGAAAACAAAGCAAGTGAAAATGACAAACCAAAAGAAAAACGCATTGGTGATGAAAGTTCCGATGATGAAAACATCCCTATATCTAATGACAGAGAGTAAGTATATTTTTTACTAATATATACATATTGTTATAAATATAATTGCGATAAATTTTTAGAAACGACAATTTTGTTTCCGACTTCGATGCAATGTTACTACGTAAAAAGGAAGAGAAAAAAGTACGTCGTCGCAAACGCGATATAGATCTTATAAATGATAATGATGATTTGATTGATCAACTGATTATGAATATGAAATCCGCTTCGGATGAAGATCGTCAATTAAATTTAGATGGAAGACCTGCAACAAAAAAAATTGCTATGTTAAAACAAGTTATGTCTCAACTGATTAAGAAGGATCTACAGTTGGCATTTTTAGAGCATAATGTACTCAACGTGCTGACGGATTGGTTAGCACCATTACCAAATAAAAGTTTACCATGTTTGCAGATACGAGAAAGTATTTTAAAATTACTCTCAGACGTAAGTCGCTGAATCCTATTATAAATTGAAAATTCAATTTTAATTTATTCTTATAGTTTCCTACCATTGACAAGAGCTATTTGAAACAATCGGGCATTGGCAAAGCTGTAATGTACCTTTACAAACATCCAAAGGAAACAAAGCAGAATCGAGATCGTGCTGGTCGTTTAATATCAGAATGGGCGCGCCCGATTTTCAATTTAAGTTGTGATTTTAAGGCTATGTCTAAAGAGGAACGCCAAGAACGTGATTTAGCACAAATGCCAAACCGTCGCAAGTCTCCTGAACCTCAACCCTCAACTTCCACAAAAAAGAAAGGACTAAGTTCAGCTTTTGCTTCTGACGAAAAAGTATTACGACCTGGTGATCCTGGTTGGATTGGACGAGCTCGTGTTCCATTGCCATCGAATAAAGACTATGTTGTACGACCAAAGTCAACTGTCGAAGGAGAAATTTCTACAGTAAGTCCGATTACTACATCATCTTTAATTCATTTTTTTTAAATTTTTTTTTGTTGTTTTTCACAGAATAACAAGCGAAAGCCTAATCGATTTGAAAAGCACATGAAAAAATTCCTTGATGCTAAACGTTTAAAGCAATCAAAACGAGCTGTTGAAATTTCTATTGAAGGCCGAAAAATGGCATTATAAATGCTCAAATTTTTTTTTAATTTAGAATTATTTATTTTAAGATTAATGTTTAACTATTGTAGCTAAATAAATGTGTGTGTGGTTACTTTTAAATAAAGCAATACAAGTGTCCACCTCTAGTAAATACATATACAGGCCTATATTTATAAGTACTCACACCATTTACTTAGGAATGAATGATGTTTATAATGTTATTTCTGAAAGGGTCTTTATACTCTACAATATGTTTTAGATGTATTTTGCCCTAGACGTCGCAGTAAGTATTCCTATATTATTATATACATATATTTATCTTCATGAAAGCTTATAAATTTATTGCACTCAATGTAAATTACTAAAATATATATCTAAATATATGTGTCTAAAGACTTAGTGCTGATTACTATTAGAACTTCTTTCTTTTATTTGATGTATAAATTTAGTTAGAGAAGTGTTCATCTATATCATATTTTGTAACGATTCTTCAAAAAACATTACGTTCTTTCGTGAAATGTCACTTTCACTGCTATCAGAAGACCCTGAGAAAATTTAAGAACTTAATGACGGGGTTTTACACTACTTAAGATAAATTCATTAGTGAAATATTTCGTCTGTGAATTACTGTTGAAAAAATAATTGAACTAAAATTCATTTTAGGAATTTAATCAAATTGCAATATCTTAATGAAAATTTAGAATATCCAAAAACTTCTTAACACTTATCAATATCGCAAAAGGTGACATAAGTTTCCAGGCTTTGAAAAATTGTTTCACAACAATATTGATTCAGAAGGATTCAGAAGGAACGGAGCTTGCTGTATATATATTGTATGCTATGTAGCTTTTTACATCTGATATCAATTTCTGCTATAATTATCTATATTTCCACTTCCGTATTCTAATTAATTTATCTCTAAATTGGTAGGTAAGTACTGTTGGGTCTTAAATCACTAATGGAATATTGTTTTTCCGTGACATCAACATTTAGCACCACTGATTTAGTAAATATTTGATTACATTTTGAACTGCCATTTGTTATAACCGGTAAAGTGCAGAACTTTGTTGTAATAACACAGGCAACACTGATAAATCGCACAATTGGGTGCAGGAAATAATCTCACACATCAATAAATGACATTCTATCCTATTGTACTTAATGAAATTTTATTCAATCATGTTTCTTTCTGCATCAATTTAGGCAGCGGAATAATACATCGAATTTATGGTAGAGTAGAGACAAACGAAATGAATGTTAGTTCTAAGCTTAACTCCAATATAAATGATGAGCGGTCGGTGATTATAGATAACAAGTGGCTTCAAGTTGTAATCATGCCCAATACCTACATACAAGTTAGGTAGGTCAGAAATAAACGGATTTTCAAAGCCATCGAAGAAATCCTTCAGTAAGAAATATAATAATTATTGTAAAGTTACAAATAAAATTAAATATAAAAAATTCAATGGATTTATTTTATAATTTCGCAAAACCTTAACACCATATTATTTTTTATAATAAAAAAGTATTACATTGTTTGAATATATGTATATATTTTGATAATTTAGTTGTAATAATATAAACTGCAAGCATGTGTATAAGCACTTCATTCAAAGATTAATGAGTATATGATTTAAACTATTAAATAGCAATTTTAATTTTGTATTATTAAAATTAATAAATTTGTTAATACTTCAAATTCTTTTAGAGCAAAATAAACATAATCTTCTTCATTTGTTTACTCCATTAAAAGATCATATCAAATATGCTTTACTAGTTACTCATTACTGAGCTGCTATTTCTCCAACTTTTATGTACACTCTGGAGTTAAGAGCATGAGAAGTTGGCTCTTTTTTCTCAGCAGTATTGGTAACAGTGTTGACATAAGTGTATTCCATACTAAAACCTAAGATGACATCATCGCCTTGTTTAAGTGTTTCATCAGGGGTGAAATTTAAGCGTATGGATACTTTGTTTGCCTTGCGCCAAGTAATAAATCTGAAATATCGATATATGTAAATAATATTATTGTCTCTAAGTTAATTGTTATTTTAACTTACTTTGGTTCTTCCTTTTGCCCTGGGATGACTTCATCAAATTCTTTTGAATCATCACGTAAGTTTATAACAAATGAAGAATCCAACATTTCCAATTTAGAATTGGACTGGAATCGCACCATACGAGGTTCCTCATTCAAAGAGGTTTGTCGAGATAATGTGGTTATTGATTTATTGGGGTCACTTGTATTTATCAGTGAAGTATCCTTAACGTTGCAAGCATTTTTAAGTGCTTCAATTAATTTCATTTCTTCTTCTACAGTAGGTAAATCCATTATAGCTATTTTCATATCATGCATAGTTGGATTTGTTAACTTAAGTATTACAGAATTTGATTTGCCTTGTAGTAGTGGCTGTTCGCAACGCACTAATAGCACATCAGGCACATGGTAATTAGCAAATAATTGTATACGATATTTGATGGAAGTAGGATGATATTCGGGTTTAATGACATTATGCTCACATTGGCGACAGCGCAAAGAGCGCTTAATCCAAAGACAACGTCGTTGAGGATAGAGCTTATTAACAGAAATTGGTTGATCAGCTGGTTGAAAGTGCCGTTGTTCGATTGTGGTAACTATATAACAATACATAATATTTTAATTTAAAGTTGCATGTTTTATAATTGTATGGCTTACTATTTTTAAGATTAAGTTTTTGAGTAAAAATACTGGCCGGCAACTCTCCCACATCTTCTGAAGCGACTGATGGCGCAATATTAACTGGTTTTGCTTTCTGAGTGGTTTTGTCAGACCAACCAATTTGCCGGCGTATCATTGATACAGTTAAACCTGTACGATCCTACAAAAGGTAAAAACCCATTAATATGTTTTTTGTAGTATAAAATATAATTAATAGTAACCGTCAAACTTGGAAACTTATGCGCTTTTGGTGTTTTTCGACGCATATATTCTTGCTTCTCCTGTTTGTCTTGTAACACAACAGCTTGATAATATTCTAACAAAGAATTAAATCTGGTTCTGTATGAACATTCACTATCAGGCCAAGCACCAGTTGCTAAAAACAACTAAATGTTATATTTTACATTAATAAATGAACAAAGTTTCCGTACCAACTGATTGATCTGGTATACCAGCATCGCGTGATGTCCAGCGACAAGCTAAACAAGATAAATAGTACATTTTTTTAGTAACCACTTTTGTTGGGTCACTTTCTCCTTCTTTAGAGGCATCATCCAGTTTTCTATACAAAAATACAATAAAATAAAAAATTTGTTTTTAATAAAAAAAATTTTTAAACTACTTCACTACTGTTGTAGCGCGTGCCGACAAAGTATGCTGGCAGCTGGGACAATCAAAACAATTTGTACAGCAATTTTTTTTGTGTCTAGCCTCCGAAGAAGGTATATTTTCCAAACAATTAGAACAGAAATGAGAATCTACCTATAATTACACATAGTTCAAATCCTTATATAGGAACATTTACCAACGATTACTCACTTCGTGGCAAACACAAAAACCACACCTCAGCTTCAAACAGTGACGACAGAAGAATAATTTATAAATTGGATTTAAAATGCCACAGGAACATACATAGTTCACAACACTTTCTTGCATAAAATTAGCCATTTTCAGCACTAGTGCAGAAATTTACTTTGTTTAAGAAATGATATCACAATCGACCAGCCAAATATCTTTTTTTGTTGTCAAAAATTATATTTGACATATAGCAGCTGGGCGCAACGTACTGTCTCATTCTGGCATAACAACCCTGTAATGCTCACCTGGTTGACTACAATAAAAACAAAAAAAACAATGAAGTAAACCAGTATTTTTGACAGGTAAAACAGTTTCTTTTTTAAAAGCGCGGCATCGTTTCAAGGATTTGTACTTTGCTACCAAGCAGGTTATGTGAATAGATTAAAATGGATAAATCTAAAATCGAGAACCTTATAGATTTAAGTGACGTGCAAAATTTAGAAAATGAATCCACACCGGCTAACAATATTGCATTTGAACCGGTATGTTTACTATCATCTCAGTGTTTGGAGCGACGCGAGAGTTTCGATAACAATCCATTTGATCATGCACAAAAACTAGCCCGCAGACTTGATGATCCCTTTGAGATTGTTGAAAAGGAAGCGTGTATGAAGGTAATATAATATAGTAATAAAAGTGATGAAAATCTATAAAAATTAACTGACAATCTATTGTAACAGGCACGTAATTCTATTTTAACAAATGCCGAAGTCAAAATGGGTAAACTGCTTTCGCTTAGTGATGATAATTTGTTGGACGATGATGATGCTGACGCTGACGATATGGGTAAAAAGGCCAACAAATGTAGAAATTTTCTTCATTTTAGCGATGAAATAAATAGTCCTGATTCTACTTGTACACAAATAGCATCGTCAACGCCAAATCAAAATGTAGAAAACAGTTCCGATACAGCTAGCAGCGCAGAAAGCAATAAAAACGCAAGAAAAAACAAAAAATACTTGGATCAAAGAAAGCGTTTGCTTAAGTATAGTTTAACCAATTCCACATCTACTACACCAGTTAGTCATAAGGAAAATTCAGATCAGTTGGAAAATAAAAATAGCGATAGTCATTTTACAGCTGCTTTAAACAAAGCAGCGAAATCATGTGAAATGATATTTACTGAATCACCATTAAAATTCGTTGATGATCTGATGTTTGAAGAGCCACCGAATCTTATTGATTCAGAGAAAGATTTCGAAGCAGATTTGGAAATGCTTCAGATTCCTATGCTAAGTCAATTACCTTCTCCTGCAAAAGTCTCAGACTTGCCCATAATAGAGAGTGCACGTTTAATAAAACCACAAATTTCACCAGACACAAGTGTACACGGTGATATAGAAACAATACGAAAAAAACTTAAAGCAACACATGGTGATGATGCTGACAAAGAACAGGATATCACAAAGTTGATACAAGATCTTAAAAAAGTAATTAGCAACAGTAATGATGTTGATGAACAAAAAAAATCGGAAGTTAATATGTTGCTAGAAACGCTGAGGGGTACGTGGACTTCAGACAAAAATGATTTGAAACCTGCTAAAGAAGAGAAGGATACAAGTATTGGTTTTTCAGCTCCACCTTTAAAGAGGCAGGGCA